AACGTCACCACCCGAGCACCGGTAAGCACTGATGAGACAGTCCTCAGGCACCTGCATAAGGAACGGTGACCAGGGTTCTCATTTTATACAGGGGCAAACCCACGGCAGACCTGCATTACAACCCAAGGGCGTGCCAGCTGGGCAAGGACTGCTGGAGAGCTGCTAGCGTATACGTTATTTATTGCAGGGCTTCACGTCAAGTGCTGTACCCTGTGCCAGGAAAGGACACAAAGAACTCTTAGAAAGCCAGTCAACAAAACGAGACACACACAAAAACTGTCAAAAACCCTGCAGGAGTTCAGTTGAAACGTAAAATCGAAACATCCTTGTTGAACTCTTCATACAGCTCAACCTTCTACCGATAAAAGAAACGAAAAGGGCGGTGTCTTTGTAAGGTAACTTTGAGTAATTACTTGGTACGGCTTTGTCTGCTCGGCTTTTTGATAATCATCTTTTTCCTGATGAATGGACAGCAAAGGAGTGCTTTGATTTACCCTCCTCCATCCGATGTCACACAAGAAATTACCATCTTTTGCCCAATTTCTTTCCCAAGAGCAAAAGGATTTCTGAGGAAACATCCTCCCACAAGCGTGATCCAAATATCCATCTCTATGACACAGCCATGAACAAAAGCCAGTCACAGCGCACGCCTTTGCCGCTCCCGAGTTCCGCGTTTCTGCCAATCTGACTGCTACGGAGCCTCATCTCCAAAAGGAGCAGTGAAATGAAAGAAGGGGGCGGAGGATGACTCTGCTACCAGGGACCACAGAGCCACGGTCATCCCTGGTGGGGTTTGCGAAGGCAGAGGGAGCGGCTGGAGACGCTCGGCGATCGATCACGGCAGTGGCGGGGGCGGGAGGTAAATCACCCTTTCTTAGGTTGCTGAATTTCTGCAGGCATTTCACATAACTGCACAGGGCTCAGTCACCTCAGGAGATGGAAATAAGAACGTGGCAATAGCCACGGACTGGGGCGCTTTATGGAGAAATTCCCAACGATATGCAACAGAGTGAAAAAACACTCATTTGCACAGGCCAAGTCTTAGCAACTTCTGCTTGTTTACCTTTTTTCCTGCTTTATGCGTAAAGAATATCTTAGGACACATTCAGAAGTTTTAATTATGATTAAACATAATACCGGAACAGGAGTTTATACAAGCTTATCATGAAGCTAAGAAAGGCATAGAAAATTTTAGAGCCCCTAAGGCTTAGTTATTTAAGCGCTCTGAAATAAGTGAGATACAGGCACCTCAATACCTTTGAGAACCATGGCTCAGGGGACATTTCCAGATTTCAGACCTAACAAATACCCTTGAAGAAATTTGTCATTGTTTAATTTGGGTTTTAAGCCTAACTGCCTTGGAAAAAAAAAAAAAAGGAAGGAAAATCATGGGCAGAATCCATGCTAATGACATTACGCTGAAGTGTTTCCTAAATAAATGTTTTTGAAAGTCATTTAATACAATTAGGCACCTATCAAAATCATAGGTTCCAAATCAGTTGTGATTGCCCAGTAAGAGCCGGTAAGTTGCATAATATTTTTACACATAACCAACAGCAGGGTCTGGTTCAGCTTCAGTAGAGATCGTTTCATTAACAACCCTTAATGAACACACAGTAACTGTGTCCATTAAATGAGCAGGGTGCTTTGTGATTTCCATCAATGCGTTTTATGGGTAAACGAGAGATGAGAAGTTCCCCCTTTTAACAACGGCAGTAAACGTCAGCCGAGCAGAAAGCCAAGCTGCTTCCCAAAGGTACCAGCCCGTAAACCTATGGTGCAGAGCCACGCACAGAGGGGCTGCCGTTCTCATGAACCTGGCGGCAGCATGAATATTGGATGAAAGCGCTGAAATGAAAGGTAGAGACCAAAAGGAAATACCTCCCTGGAAAGAAACTCCAGGGAAGTTGGGGCTGATGGCACTTTCATTATTGTGATTAGCCATGTTGAGAGACAGCTGCGCTCCTGTTGGCCTCATTAAATTTTTATCTGTCTAAAGGACAAATTCTGCCTTTAGAAGCACATGAGAGGCACTCATTGAATTCCAGGGAGCGTGGTATATCTCGATCAAATACATTCTGGAGTTACTTTTTCATTAAAGTGTAAATAATAAATAACAGTAATAACTATTCATGAAGTATTTCCCTTTGTATTTAAGTCTCTCCCTCCTTAAGTCTCAAAGCACTTGAACTGTCAGGGAACATAACGCGTTACATATTCTCATAACGCACAAACATCCCAGGTGGGGAAACAGAGGCAAAACGACATGAAAGGAGCGGCTGAAGGTCAGCCAGCGGGCTAAGCAGAGCCAGGAAAGAATTTCTTGAGAATCACTCCAACTGAGACAGGACCTGCACAGCCCCTCGAAACAAGAAAAAGAATGGAATGAAAAACAAAATCACCTAGGATCCGAGTAAAGGATGCCCTCAGCCATGAAAAATAAGCAGGGGCTGGAGTGAGAACTTAGACGACCGCCCTTTGTCAGCATCATCCTTCCCAGGATAAGCACGCTATTATTTTCTCTTTAACCAGCCCTGAAAATCTAGCTCCGTACAGCGAAGAGACAGGGCTTACCGTCCAAGGTATAGTTAAATAATGCGCTGAGCATGATTTACCTTCAAACCCCTTAAGTAAGTTTTAATTTGTCTTTAACACCCTGAGGTTTTGATGGCTCCTCGAGGAATGACTTCAACTGCAGAAAGGAAGAATTCGACATTCACCAGCTGCTGAAAAAAGAGGAGGCTGTTACAAGCATACGGTGCAGTAAAAAGAGATGCAATATAGAGGTGGAAGGTGGATGTACGCTGTAAACAGAGCCCATTTCAAACCCTTCAGATAAGGCTCTTGCTGGGTCCGAAGGAGGCACTAATCATAGCAAGGCCATACACTCAATCCTAAAGGTTTCTTTACATTTCTACGCCTTAGGAACTCACTGAGACAGGCACTCAGAATAAAACACTAAATTGATTACTTGTTCAGCTGTAACGTAGGAAAAAAGCATATCGTTGCCCAAACACAGAGGCACTCCCAACAGTCAGGAGTTTACCCGCTCATCTCCCACGCAACATGAGAGTGGTTAGGTCTGACTGTGGAATCACAAGCGTACCGTGGGCCAGCCTGGAAACACCTCTCCGTGTTACCATAACCCTCGGTGTCGCAGTGCCTACCTGCAGGAGAGGGGTTTGGGGCTGGAGCCGAGAATTGAGGGCATCCCCTATACCACGCACAAGGCGACTGAAGCACCCAAGCGACGCGTTCTAAAGACACGTCCGTCTTATGTTTTGCCTCCCATACAGCGCGGCTACAGGCCAGGATCCTTCTCCTCAAAGCAAACCCGTTCATCTTTTCGAAGGTCCAGAAAGAGCAGCAGTCACGGAGGTGGTAACTGGTATCTGTAGACACCCCCGCAAATAATGCTTATGCGTTTTACCTGCAACAGCCGTTTCCTCCTTTTAACAGAAAGCAGATGCCTCCCATACAATCAGCGGGGAGGACACAATGGAAAGCCCCAGAGCATGTGCTGGAAACAACGTAATTTCTTAATCCCAACTGAAAACAAACAGGAGTTACTCGCTGGGTGCCCAGTCCTGACATGACTGAGGCATCCTCCAGGGATCTGAAGTGCCTGGCTGCCTCAAGGGCAAAAAACTGAGGCACCTACAAATTTCACGCCTGAGGCTAATGGGAAATGAGCAGGGAGGGCTTCACAGGCTCCCCCATCTTTAGCATGCACCAACCACCTCATCTGGCCATGCTGAGCTCCCTCCCCAGCACTGGGATTTCTTTACAGCACCCTCCAAAGCACAGTCCCTCTCTTTGCTCCCCTGGACTCCTGCAGGGATATTCACCGAAAAGCTGCACACCCAGGACATTCCCTCCATTCATGTTATTGCGCCTCTGTGTTATTCACTTAGTCACGGCTTTATCAGGGCACTCGTACGTGACAAGATGCATCATCAAGAGCAATAAATATTCTTCACATGCACATACACGCCTGTTGCAATAGCAAAGGATGACAAAAAGTAGGAAATATTAATAAAGTATGATAATAGGTTAGGGAGAAATGTTAGGGTGAGTTTTATAAGCAGAACGCAGAAAGCTACGAGGCCTTAAATGTAGCAAGAAGAAAGTAATTTCTTCGCTTGCTTTCATTTCTGGGTATTTTAAAATGGCAGCTTTTCGACAAATTTGCAGACTGCAACAGGAGGCAGCCGACAGAACTCCAAGGCATGACAGTAAGCTTAAAACTCCTCTTTTTTGATTACCACTAGTAAGAAGACTGCGAATCTCAATGTATGGTAAGTACAGAGTCACTGCCGAGGCCTCTATAGCTGTCTGCATCCACGCGCGCACACACTGTAGACACCACTATAAACACGGCACTATCTATTATGCCATTTTTAGAGAGAGAGAGAGAGACATATTCACAACATACACCACAAAACCGTTTTAAGATGAATAAAGCAAGATGGAAATCAGCTTTACCCACACTGGACAATGATTGTACAGCAATAAAACGCAAGCTAGATGCTACTATCACGTAATTTTTGATTAAGAGTGCCATAGACACCACCTGTTACAGAAGTCGAACGCGCATGAAAGCTTCGTCTCTGCCCAAACATTTCAGATGATCAGCCTTTTAGGTTCAGGCACGGTTGGAGTTTTTTGTAAATCTCTCTTTCCTACCGTTGTTCCTACATCATCTCCCACGCGCCAGCTGCAAGAGCATCTCTCTGCCTTTCCCTGTGCCTCCTGCACCCTGCTGCCTGCCTGCCGCCTCCCCTCCTCTCCCACTCAGTCCAGTGAAGATACGGTTAGAGCGATGTGCCACGGCCAAAGCAGCCTTCAGAGCCCACCACTGACGTGTCATCAGTATGGGTCTCGCTACGCTAATCGTGGGTTAGAAAAGCATTGTCAAGGCAACGCAGTTAGTTTTCGGCGGGCAAGTTTGGTGGGTTGCTTTAAAAGGGAAGGCTATAGCCAGTTAGCCTCTGCATTACCATTATCGGGGTTGGTAAACATCCTACTTGCACTGGAGACGGTCTTTCCAATGTCGGCCAGAGAGCGCAGGTTGGATTTCTTGGTCTGGTGCCGGTGCTTCCTGAGCAGCGTGTAGGTGACTTTGTCCTTCAGTTCTGATTTCAAAAGCCCCGTCTCGATCTGATTGTCAACGATCATTTCTGTCGCACGCAAAGAAAGGGGTGAGGGAGAGGAGAGGACAATTAATCACAAAGCACAAAACTCCGCGGCATCAAGGGAGAGCAGGGGGAGAGAGACGGATCCTTTTCACCCCACCTTTTTGAAGGCTTCCCTTCCCATCTCCAAACCACCGCCAGATTTCGCCATTTTATTTTTAACAGGGATCTCTTTTAGACATTTCTTTTGAAACGGAACATAAGCATTTCCATCCAGCAAAACCCATCAGCCACTGACACGTACCTATTGCACTGAGCCTCCCTTCTGTTATTTTCATACACGCCACTGAGCCTATTTCAAACCAACTGTGCCCAGGATAAGACGGTTCTTAGTTCGGAAAGGGAATCTGCTCCGACCCTGTATTTTTGTGAAGAAGCTACAACTACATTGCAAGTTCCAGTATGCTCCCAAAAACAACACGGTAAAACTTCTATCAGATTCAACAGGGCCTGAGTTCACCTCGCAGGCCCCCAATAAAACCTCCTCTAATGACAGGAAAAAGTCCTGGAGATGAGTAACTAATTAAATCACTCTCAGAACTGAAGCAAAATGACGGCAACTACAACAGGCAGAACTTGCTCCAATTGTCACAGGACCTATTATGTGGCTTTGCCTGTAACTGAAGGAAAAAAAGGCTCCCAGCTCACTGCAAAGACTGCTCACTTTCCATCAATTCTCTCCGTTCTGCTCCGCTATCCCAGAGGAGAAAGAAAAAAAAAAAGGTAGCCAGATTTATTAAGAATCTCTATTGTGCATTAAATCTCACATTAAGTTGCTCCCTTCATTACTTCAGTCAACGTGCTGTCCCCCAAGGGAAAGTGGCAGCTCTTATTTGTCTACCGGTAACTTTTATTTGTGCTAATAATAAAAGTTATGGGAAAGTGGAGGCAGAACATGCATCACATTTGCTAACTCAGTGAGTCAGAAAGTCATCTTCTATATGCTGCCCAAGAATTAATGCCTCTTCAAATCACTAGGGAAAAAAGCCTAGTTCTTCCACCCAAACTCAGAAAAGGATGACTATACGCATGTAGGTACGGTTACACAAAATGTTTGGCAAAAGGTTTATTTTTGTAAAGTGCCATTTTTCTGTACGCTTTTGTTGCTCGTATTTTTTGTTAGTGATTTTTGGAATACTTCCTTCAGAACAACATGTCTTTCTTCATCAAGTTTATCCTCCTCCATTTGGCAAGTATTTCTTCCCTTCCATGTTTCTGATATAACCGACATCAGCAAAGGGAGCTCTGAGTTTTTCTTTCCTGCATGTCACTACTGGACACCAACCAAGTGGTCACGATTAAATAATTCTGGAAACCAAGTCTGCAGGCTTCTTGGACATCCCTATCTATCTGATTAAGAATCTGGACCAGCAAAAATACCCCGCTTGGGACGGTGTTACAGTAACAGCAGCTACTGATTTGTAATTTAATCTCCCAGGAATTAGATTTAATTTGGGTGTGGAAGAAGGATATTGAAGGGGACATCTCAAAGTGACTTCACAAAGAAATCTAATGTTTGAGGGTTAAGGTTTTGGACCGCTGACATCAGCTGCTATCTTCTGAAGCACATTCAGCTTCAGCATAAAACTTCAGAGGTTTTCGGATTTTTTTTTTTTTTTTAAACTTTGTAAAGCTGTGCATTTGGATACACAGACACAAAAATAAAGGAAGATAAACGGCACCATAAGCACCTACAAAACTAAGCTCAAAACTCTGTAGATAACATCAGAGGCAGCTTTTGTCATTCCAAGTCTTACAAACTAGTGCAACACCTGAGGCGTGGTAAGCTCACGCCAGGACAATTTTGAGCCTGCTTCCCGAGATTATAGTTCAAAACACTGAGTTTTGTGGGGGTTTTATTTCATTTTGCTCTTCTACACCTCTTCACACAATGGCTTCTAAACTCAGTGTTTTGGTTAAGCGGACCTCCGCCGGATGGCTCACTTGAAAAATATTTTTCCTGTGTCTTCTCACACGTCATCGGGAACATGGTATAGCTCTCAGCAATGTCACTAAGTGTTATCCCAGGCCACGGCTATTTTGACGGCAAAAAAATCCCCATCCCATTCGGCAGAATGAAGCATCAGCTGGTACTGTGGCTGATCTTCACTCTCCTTTGCTGGAGGGGAGCGCCCCATCCTAAACAGAGCCCCACCTCCCTTCAGTGGCCGACCCTGGGACCTCATCTGAAAGCAGTCTATGGTCTGACCACGCGGGCCAACGTTCTGCACAAAGCAGTACTTGCCGGGTATCTCTGTCCTGAGAGAGCTGGCCTTTTACCTGTCACGTTTCTGGTAGTGAGCATAAATTAAGTCAGTGTTGCTATTCCTTTCACACACACATAGCGATACCTTAGGATCTAACTTAGGATGTGTGCTTCAGGATCCAAATGGTTCCATATAATCACCAAAAAACAGTTCAAGGTAAGCACTAATTATCACTGAAGTCGATTCTTTTACTCTTCTTCCCAAATTTATAAGAACTGTCATTTATCTGTTATCTGTCTCCATGTACTTTCTAGTTTTCCCTGTTATTCCTTGGAGAATTATTTCTTTATTTTCCTCTTTTAGTGAAAAAGCAGTGCTTTTTCATTAAAACCATCAGTGAAACCATCATCAGGGTTAGTAAAAATTTGTAGGGAGGAGTTGAGAGAAGGAGCCAAGGCAGCTTTACTTACCCACCACCTGCGGGAGAGAAGAGGCCTCCATATCCAGCATTATTGAGCCTTTCTCTATACAGGTCCTCAACTCAAACAAGCTGTGCAGGGACAAGGTGGCCACGTGAGGTTTGCTCCATCGCTCCCCACCTTGTTCTACCTTCTCCTCAAACTTGATCCACCTACGAGAGGACAGAGCAACGAGACTGTGTTAAAGCTGTTGGGTCCTTGCAGACACACATCTCAAAGAAGCGAGACAGCTGAACCGTCACGGCATACAGACAAGGTCAAGCACACGCATTTTCCCACACGTTTCCGAGGCCACAAATCCACGATCAAGTTGCAAAGTCTTAATGAATCGGTATGTGTCAGCTGAGCAGCGATAATGCTCGGCCTGCTGGTAAACTAGTGCAAATGTGAGGTAAAACATGTTATCTCTCATAGCTTTCACCAGGACTTAAACTAACACCCTTTAGCTGATGTTTGCTCCAGGCCAAGAGTACACGGGCAGCTTCAGCGACTCAGCCGAGATCCGGTCGTTCCCTCCCCAGTTTGCACACCCAGTCCCTAACCCGACACCGCATCAAACCAACCACAACAACTCGACCGCCGCTCCGCCAGACCCAACGGAGAGAAAGTCAGGTAGCTTAATTATTCACTCTTAAATAATCTTAAGTGAGAAGGGCTGAGCACCACAGCTCCACAAAAAGGATGGGGGGAAAAAAAATTAAATCAGCGTTTCTGGAAATAAGGTGACTTGTATTCGAGTATTCAAATCCAGACAATAAAACCTGAAAACTTCAGCCACTGCCAAAACTCAGCAGCACCGAATAATACTGCCCCATACCCACAGGCCGGCATGAGGCAAAGGGTGGAGGAGAGGAGCACATCCCAACCAAATCTGAAGATGTCCTCAGCGGAACAAGTGAGCCACCAAAGGAAAAGCCACAAATTAAGGGGCTCGTTCTTTCCCTCCACTCCCTAGCCATTGTTTAATGATTTAACAAAGTAGGTCTGAAAAAAACAGAAAGCTCATCTCTAGTTGAAGATCGGGGCAAAGGTTAAATCCTGTGCTGTGCAAAATACTCTTTACACCCCTAAAACCATGTCCTAACAGCAGGCAAGCAGGAGGTTTCACCTCCCCAAGCGCCGGGCTGCAGCCCCCCTCCACCTCCAGGCTTGACCCTGCCCCTGGCTCCGCTGCACCCAGCCAGGGGTCTGCACGGGTGGGCGGCCCGGGACGGAGCAAGCTGCTCCTTCCGCGGGGCTTGAGGAGGAGATTTCACCTGGCTCGGACCTTCGCTGCGCCAGGAAAAGGAAAGAAACGCCACAGGTCGTCTTCCTTTATTGCAGCAGCCAGCTATGGCTTTGGTATAAGCTCGGAGTGCAGGAAAAGGAACGCGTTTTAATATCACCTAATCGCAAAGCAGAAGTGCTTTTTAATCCTGTCTTGAGATACTGTTTTAATATATGTGGACAATGAAAATTCCAGTGACTAATATAAGGGGATTATTAAGACCAAAAACACACACATAAAGGTAAGGAAGCTCATAAATTGGTTCAAAAGAGTATTATTAACACCGAGTGAAATTATATTTAATCCTGAAAAAATGTATTACTTGAGAATTAATCAATTATGCTTTTCAATTGCAATAATATCTTTTTGAGACTTTTTTTTTAAAGCTGCTTTTTAACTCAAGCTAAAAGACTGAATTTGATCTCAAATTCATAAGGTTCTATTTTGTTCACAAAATCTAGGTATTTCCTAGGACACCTAAGGGACTTGGGCAGCTGCAAATTTGAATTTCAAAGGCTATATATTATGTGTGACTGAGACACAGTTTACCCTGAAACAGCATAAAGCCTGCAAATTACAAAGCGTTTGTCTTTTCAGTGAAAGCGTATTGTTCACCACCATCAACATTTGCTTTCTGTTTACTTTTCTCACCACAATCCACAATACAAACAACAATAAAACAAATTTTAACCTGCAAACCTGTTTGAACTACCACCTGCTGTATTCAGCACAGTCCCTAGAATAACCCTTTTCCCAGGGAGCGTTCACGCCCGCCCATTCCAGTGGGAGTTCAGTGACAGCGAGGTGCCTTCCAAGCACCCTGAAGCAGCTTTAGACACTTGGTTCTTAAGTCCCCTCTGAAGCCCTGGTGCACACCATCTCCTCTACAAACCAACGCGAGCACTTAGTTAAGCAAAGCCGTCCACGTGGTTTTCTATACATTTAACCAATGCCTTGTTCTTTGTTTTTTGTTTTTGTTTTTTTTTTTTTAAAAAACCTGCTTCTGCAGAACAGCTCGCTCGCAACCAGAAAGTTGCACGGGCAGCTGCCGAGCACAGGAAAAAAGTGCCGGACTTGCAGGGCGGAGGGTGGTGGAGGGGGCAAAAGAGACAGCCGCAGGGTTAATGCTTCCTATCGCGTGAGTATAGAATTGTACAGTTCTCAGCAGAGTTTCCCGAGTGTTGAAAGCAATGCTGACTGCAGCCCAGCAGCAACGTACGGTTTCAGGGCAAAAGATTATCTCCACTGTTATTTGAGAAAGCAAACAAATTACCTTCCTCATCTCTATCCCGCTCTGTTCTTGACATCTACATAGTCTTCCCGTCTGCCAGCTGTCCTTCACTTGCAACAGCTCGTAAACATTCCCGTGACCACATCGGAGAAGCAGCAAGGTATGACATAAAACACCCACGTTCTGTTATGCCTCTGGGGCCCTGGGAACTACGCTGACGGCTCCAGCAAGGGTCTCCTGGCACCGGGGACTTCCGAGTTCAGGTACCTATCAGCATCGTTAGCTCCAAAGGGCTGAGACTCATGAGAAAAATCTGCCACCGGCGCACCTGGTCGCCTCCAGAATAACACCCTGCACTTCGAACGCGTGTCTGGGAGCCAGCGGTATAGTCAGTGTACGCGCACTGTGAAGACAGCTAGTATCTCTGCTAACCAAGATGCAAGGGCCATCTTTTTTTTATTTTTAGAGCTCCAAAAAGGATTGCCTGAAAGGTGCGTTAATGTTATAATGTGTAAAAGGTGAAGGATATAAATGTACTGCCTGACGGAGCTTATATAATAAAAAAAGACCATAACAGAAGATTAAAAAACCTTGTCCACCATCCCACAGTCCTTTCATTCCTTTTCTCTGTAACCTCATGATCTTTCTGCCATCTCCCTGCCTTGTAGAATGACAATCCCCACACTACGGTGGACACACCTTGGTCCCCAAAAGTACTGTACTGAGCCTCAAAATAGACCGGTGGCCTCCAGCTGCTTCAGGTCTTTTCCTTTTCCTAGTTTGCTCTGCATCCTGTAACTACCGCTGAAATGCAAACATTCACATGTTAGTGCAAGAACTTGTCCATCCGTACCAGATAAATCAATTACGAGCGCCAGCAAAATGAACAAGGAGCACCCAGTGACCCAAATCTTCAGGTTACCTTTTAACAGCAATAAACCTTCCCTTTTACTGCTCTATTTCTAATGCATTTACAGGGCTTTGTTGTGAAACCCTGTGTACGCTAAGCACATTCTTCCACAATGGCCCTTTATTGTGAGCCATGGCCCAACACCATGATGTGCTAACAGGCGACAGGACCACGCAAAGGAACATGGCATCCTCAGGCCCTGGGCACGGGCTGATCTCACCTACTGTCAGAAACGTCACCATGTGCAGGGGGACAACTATGGCCTGTTTATACTGGGGTTGCAACACAGACAGCTGAACTCACATGAACCAAGAACCAGGATGGGCAACTGAAAGGTCTCCTTCTGGAAACATCTTTTCATCAGTAGCTTTAAGGTTCTTGCTAGAAATTTTCCGTGACACGTACCGGTTATTTTTCTATTGAGCAGAACAGCTCTGGGAGGGACGGTATCATTTGCTAAACCCTTTTAATACAAACACCCTTTCCTGACAGCTTCCACGCTCTTTCAAGTCTTAGACCAAAGAGCTGCAGCGAGCTGCGTAGCTGGCAGCTCCTCTGCCTGCTGAAGCACAGAGCTAGCCAGCTCTAGCTGGTACGTCCCACAGCAGGAGCCGCTCCGTAGCTTACAGCAGGTTTTTTTGTGCAAGATTAAGTCATTTCAGGAAGATACTGAAAAATCCTGAACAACCATACACTATGCAAGATCACTATCAACAAAACAGCACGCAAGTCAGGGGGGTGGGCCAAGTTTAGGAATTGCACAGTGCCTCAACGGGGTGCTTAAAGCATGTAATGTATACATGTCTCTTCAAAGAGAGAGATTCATAAATACAGCTCCATCTAGCACTTCTACCAAAGACGCTGAAAACATGTAAAACCAGAAATCATTTGCCAGAGAAGAAGAAAACCTCCCTTTTTCTCTACAGCCACCTGACTATGAAGAGTGCAGGCATATCCTCCTGTAAGGTCCTTTGAACGTAATAAGAGCAAAGGGCTCCTGACAAATGTCCCTCAAGAAATAGAAGCGCTTTGTGATCTGTCACGCAGGGGACAGGGCATCTTTCTTCTGATGGCTGACATTTGTGGACTTAAGGAAAACAGAGCTTCCCAGTATTCATACTATAAAGGAGAGACTGAAGAGACCGCTCGTTAAGAAATACCACACTAAGGCCCAAATCGTGAAAAAGCTTTAAAAAATTGCCATTAAAACCCCTTCCCAAAGAGCTATGCACGGACAGAGGAAAGCATAATTTGCTGTAAAAAGCAGAGGTGGGCGGTACAGATGACAAAATGCAAGTACTGAACTAATGATAAGAGGAAAGAAAAGCAATAAAGGGAGAAAAGGATGACCAACAAGTAAGAAGTTAAAGAGTAAAAGGTGAAAAGCCTTTAAATAGGTTCTCCAAGTGACCGAGAAGTAAAAATAAAGAAAGATAAGGGGGTAAAGGGGTAGGTGGTGGAGCGGTTCATTAAATCACAGGTAAAGAAGATTAAGGTAACCAAACAACATGGGCTAACTACGAACACAGTAGGTGCCCTTAAGACTGGAAAGTGGGGAAAGAGCTTAGCCCAGCCACAATAAAGGAAAATGGAAAGCCCCAAGTTAAGGGAGGGGGATTGGGAAGAGGGAAGGTAGAGCCCCGGACTGCTCTCCGGCTGGGCGAGCACCTCTTTCTAGTGGGACGTTTCAGGCCTTCACAGCAACCAGACTGCAATTAGGGGCTTACCTTTTAAGGCAAACCCAAGAAAAATATTTTCACTGTACAAAAAAATCAAAACTTCATAAGGCTAGAGGCTAAACAGCAGCCTTTAGATCACGAATCCAATCCTATGGCTCTTTTGGTGGTGTTCAGAAATAAACGATATGTAACTTGCGTAAACCAGATCAAAAAAAACACGCCAGTTTTTTGGCACGGTTTTTTGGCTGTGGTTTTGGCATGGTTTTTTGACCAAACCAACAGCAGCATCAAAGAAACAGGCAGAGAACCTAACCAAGAAACTCAAAGCGGGCAACCCAATCCAGCATTTAACGCACACCTTGAATAATTTCCTCAGAAGAAACAACCTTTAGGGTTTTTTTGCCTATTTAAAATGAATGTCATCAGTAACTCACTAGGAGAGGGACACAGTCAGAATTTCCCAACTTGTGGTGTGCGGTGGGGTCAGGCTCAAATCTACTTTTGGGCAACAGAATTGAAGTAGTTTTGACACACCTGCAGAAGCTTTATTCAGGCACCGATTTCTGACAACTCTGGCCAAGACACTGTCACGCTTTGCAAAGCACTAATAAGCCCATACGTCTGTTGGCTCTCTGTAGGAAAACTATTCAAATAAATCTGGCACTCTATTTTCTTCTGGTTTTTGTTTTAAAGGAATATTTAAACAAAACCTCAAATCCTCTCATTTATCAAAGAAAGGTAATTTGAACTGTACAGGCTCCTTTCTGCGGATTCTCCAAGCTATCCTGTAGCACAGATATTAGGGCAACTGAATGTAAAAAAGGCATTTCCCACGGGGGTCCTGTGCGGCTGCCCTTCCCTTTTGGGGTAAAAGAAAACCAACCCACCTTGCAGTCTCCTTCCATTCCATCTCCTGTCCGTCGACGGCCAGAAGTTCATCCAGCTCCGTGAAGAGCTGCGGGGGCGCCGGGCTGTCATCTTCCTCTCCGAGGATGAAACGGATGCGTTCGGCAGCGGGGGAGACTGCAGAGGTGAAAATACTGCGGTTAACGGCCTGAGAGATGACCAGGGACGTGCGGCTCCTCTCCTTCCCCTTCTCCCCAAAGCCATTCAGCTGTCTCTCCAGGCTGTCTTTTCCATTTGACATCCTAGTCACTGCGGACGGAGGGGCGTGAGCGAGGGTGCGTCTATCTCCCTCTCTCCCCTTCCTTGCCTCTCACTTAACTTCTTAGAAGTTCGAGCTGGGAGTAAAGTTCAGGAAAACTTGCCTCTTCCTACAGTCCTTAACTATGTTACAGCAATTTGCAGCCCTTGTAAAAAAAGCGCTATCAAGCTCAAAACCAATATGCTCTATGGTGCGTGCCCAAGGACCTTTCGTACTCTGATCAGCTGAGATCCTTCGCCCCCTTTTTTATATGACGTAAAACCAGTTTCAGCCAAACTATTTTGGGGCTTGCTGTGACAGCATCCCATAGCTGGCTTTCCCCTCCCTGCCAACAAAGCTCGGGCTGCCATTGGCCTGCACGGCAGGCTGTAACCTCCCCAGACCCACCGCTGGAAAACACAGGAATATTTAACAGAAAGGTTGTCTCATCTATACATGAAGAATGCGACCCAACGCATTTAGTCAGGCACCAATGCACTGGAAAAAAACAACTGTTCCGATTGGGAAAAGACTGCCCATTTAGGCCAAAGAAACTATGTTCAACACATGCTCTTTTGACAGCACAAGCAAAGTTCATTTGCATTATTAGCTCAAGAAAAATTAGCAGAAACCTCTTCCTGGCTAAGAAACACACGTGATTCAAAATTAAAAACCGAGAACATCACTGTCCACATCCCAGACCTAAGGGCATCTCCCAAAGGCAGCTGGAGCTCATGCCACAAGAGTCACCTTGCTGGAGGACTTCTTGGGGTCTACAGGTTTTTTCCGACAGTATCACCTTAAAACGAAGGTGTGATCATGTGAAAATTTTAAGACAGACATCCTTTCTGCTGAATGTTTATTAGCATTAGAGTTAAACAGCAGACTATGAACTTTGAACGCTTCTGCTAAAAACTCCTTTCTTTTCAAAAGATCAGCTGTCTGTCTGTTGCAAAATAATTAATTACACCAGGTGTCCAATCACCATTGATTTTGCCAGGGTAAACAAAGTCTCAATTTGTAATGTGAAAAAAGGAACCAGTAAGAAACACACCCTTTCCTCCCCCCCTTTTTTTTCTTTTTTTAAGAAACTTTCATAGCTTTCTTCTTAAATTACTCAGCAAAGGTTGATGCAAATTCATTTGTCAGTTAGGGCGATGATGCTTTCATAACACAAAACAGGTTTCTTTTCCATTGAAAGTATATTTGCAGTCATAAACCGCCCTTGCAATTCCCCGGGCATCCAAGCAACATTGCCCCGCACTGGCTCTGCAACTCAGAGGGGTAACAACACACAGAGCCACCCATCCGGAACCCCCTGCAGCGCTCAGGCCAGGGTGGTATCGAGAGTAAAGGCTGTTGGGCACCCTAGCACCTACCAGTCTTTTGGCTTTAAATGTTTATAGAGGAGCCACGTGTCCCTTCTTTAACATCCCAACCCAGCACCAGAGAAAGCAGCCTCTGAAGAGGTCTTCAGAGTACTGCATGTCCTGCTAAATGGGCTGGAAAGTGATCTCCTCCTCTCGCTTGAACGGGAGCAGGGACATTTACACGCTCCTCCTTTCTCCTGTCGTGAAGTCCTCAGCAGCATTGCCTTTCATCACAGAAACACAATCCCATTAAGGAAATCTATAAAAGCCCTGACCAACCCTCAGTACGGAGCATCACAGTTCAGCCTCTCTACCTGCCAGCTAGGCGCATCAATCTGTGTTTTTCAGCGCTACCATCGTGTCTGCGCAGGTGCGACCCACCGAGGTACCACAAACTGGTGCTGGTCTACACCCGTTTCCAGAAATCCCCATCCGCTATCCCCCACCATTTTCACCTCCCTGAGACGTGTAGCACAGCCCTTGCCAAGGGGTAGCCCTTGTGCTACCCCAACACAAATAACGAACGTCCTGGTCACTGCCTATCACCACTCCTTTCCCAAGCTCATCATCTCAAGGGTACCGTTCCATAATCACAGCTACCTTAACCGCCACTGCCTCGGAACACGTGCTACAGCAGCCTTCCAACACAGACCAGCTGGTCTGTGCCTCTGCCGCTACATCACCTAAGCCACACGTTGCCCATCGTACAGTAGAACTCCCAAGCCACACAAAGGCTTTCACGTTTCCCGTCTGTCCTTCCTTTCAGAAAAGCCATCACTTCCCACAAAAACAAAAGCTTTCCTTCGATATGCTCGTAACAGGAGAGAAAAATATTGCTAAACTGAATTTACAGACATTTAGTTACCGAAAAATACACATTAACCCTGCTGGTAATGAGCACTGTTATATAACCACTAGTTCCTACAGAATTGGTTGTTTTTCTCAGATGTATTTCTCAGAAACTGTGAGGTGCATAATGGCTATTTGATTATTTGACTTGGATGTAGCAGATGCACTTTGCAGAACAGTTCTAAAATATATCTGCAAACACGTAACCTTACGCGTGAAAATTGTCCTTGCAATTATAAAAGCAATTTGGACTAAAAAAACTGCGTCTAAAACACATTTAAAACAAACATTAGTATAAATAATTAAGATTATCCTATTCTAAAAATGCAATTAGGCATAACACTTGAGCTCATCTTTATACAGTCAGCCCCAGTCAACCACCGGTGCCAGAAGCTTCTGCTGAAACTAATGCACCTGAGCATCAGGAGGCAGGGTTCGATTTCTCGCACACGCTTCAGGGCAGAGGGCTCTCGCTAGGTGCGCGTAGGAAACAATACCGACTCAAATAGAGGCCCAAGACTGAGCTAAGGCCTTTAAATACAGAGAATTAAAAGATGGTGCCTGGCCAAAAGAACACAAAACAGCTTATTGCATGAGCCCACAGACTTGCATGATCTGCTTTCTCATCTTCCCTTAGCTGGTTGGAACGTAGCTGAAGAACACCACCATCAAGCGGTTGCTGCTCTCCGGCCGTCCAGTGGTGAAAGGGCCTGGGGAATTTCACAGCGGTGGAAAGGGCCTGGGGAGTTTAAGCTGGACGGCTACAGCTCGTGGCTGATGGTGTCTCAACTCTGCCGTCGTCCTCCAGACGAAGAGCAAGACCTGCTGGCAGAGTACCCGGCACATGCATGTTCCATCATCTTCCCTCTCAATCTGCACTCATGACTCTCAATACACTTTTTTATTCTGAACAGAATTTCAATATCACAGCTAGAAAAGCAGTAAAATAAATTCACAGCCTGTCGCTTCAAAAAGCAACGTGGAGCACAGCAAGCGGTTGGTGCATGGAACAGCCTGTAAGAGAAGTGACTGCAGAGCTGCTGGAGCTGCTGAAGGCATCGGTTGCAGCCGATGGGAAAATTCTCTCTTTTCAGTCATCTTGAAGTGGTTTTATTACATGGAAGCGTTACCTTGATACTCGAGATCCCATAACACGATAATTCCACAACCGCCCACAACATTTTGCTCACTGAACTGCATCATGAGAGGAATTACAGAAACGCTCCCACCAAACATGGACATGCATCATACGTCACACCCCTTCTTTCTTTTCTTCTTTCTTCTGTTTTGGCTAATTTCCTATTAGCTGCATTTAGCACAGATGATAAGGTTCAAAATCCAATTAAGGAATTTGCTGGGTCACAGGTCTCCTATGGCTTGCTTTACCACGTTCTTTATTGCGATTTTGTAGGTTAATGGGCTGTTTATGGGTTGTTTATGTGCTCTCTTTAGCAAGGAGAACATATTTTCATCTTAATCTCCGGAGCGAACACTGTGTGCTCAGCGCGGGCCGGACAGCTGAGTATCAGGCTTAAGAACCGGAGAGCAATTAACCTGGGGGGTGAACTCTGCAGACCTCCCCCTGCCTGACCTTTGAGCACCAACCCCGCCAGCCTGCCCCAGCCTTGACCATCACCTTCGCTTCTACCTAATCCGTCCAGTTTAGGAGCTGCTGGAACCGGCACCATTAACGACAGGATCAGCTGCCGCCGCTGCTAAGTCTTTTTAACTATTATTTTCCTTGCTATCTCATTCAAGAAACATCCTGATGATCAACAGACGCATGTAGCAGAGAAAATGCTAATCCACAGATTTAGATGGCTAGGATTATATTTTTCCCCTGATTGGGAGAGGAGTTAAGGTATTAATTGCAGGTGGTAAAATGCTGCAGTGCAACATTTAAACAGAGGTTTTGCCATCCGTAAGCGATACCTCTTACCTCCCCCTTTTCCCTTTCCTGTTCTTGCGTTCAGTCACAAGCGGTCCATGAGGCGGCTTATAAAATACATCACTTGCAGAAGAGAATGAACACATCAGCAGTTTCTCCTAGTTCAGTTCAGGCCAATTACAAGTACAATTTATACCCTCGGGTTCCCAAAGGCAAAATCAATCTCCATCAACAGAGAGAAATCTCAGAGAGCTCAGAAATAGAGAGAGACACATTCTAGCACGACAACCTCAAATCAGCCACAGCTGAACTTCCCAGCCCGACATCAGTCCCACTTCTGCAGCTGCTGGCTCTGGTGGGGAGCCCTCCCTCGCTGCCCGGCACGATGGAAGAGCAGGCGCAGTGCCTGCGGTGCTCCCTGCCGCGCACGGAAATGCCGGGAGGCTTCGTGGTGTCGGCAAGTATCCTAAAGTCACCTCCTGCTTCAGTGCCAAGTTACAAGTGCCTCGCTTGTCATGGGTGGAAGATGGTTATAGCCCAGCTCTGCAGCTGTACGATGCTGCCTTGGGATAGGGGGATGGGGGGGGGACTAATTTCTGTTGATGCACAAGTAAACCAGCCTCTTCTCCAATCAACCAACACGGCTTTCCTTCTGTTTTTTCAGCTTGCTGTTACCAGTGACACTTCTAAATACCCTTGGGACCTGCACACCTCAGTCAACTGCTTCCTCCATTCAAGGCCAAAGAGACCATCTAACATGAAGTTCTCCGCA